CTGTGTTGCCCAGTCTCCCGGCTTCATTACTAGACTAATTTCGAAACACATATATCCAAATTGACGGGTATTGAGTATTTTTGACCTAACCACTACGTCCAAACCTTCCCACGGCGTAAAGAAATAAAACCAGAAACAAAAAAACAACACCAAGAAACACGATTAAACACGTTAGAGACTTGGTCGCAGACGTTGCGAGACGCATTATCGTTCCTGTTAAGAGTGTAACGTCGCTCCCTTCAGACGAACTCGCAGCAGGGTGTGAGGCGCGACCACCTTTTCACCTTTTCGGCTCTATCCACACGTTTTCGACCATAGAACACACATATGTGCGCCCTCGCTTGTCTCGAGTCCTATGTTACTAATCCGTTCCACCCTTTCTCGACATCTCCCTTCGATTCCCCATAACCAATAACTATAACCGCACCGAGCTGATCGTATGCGCCCTTTGTCTTCCGGACCTTTTGGATGGTTCCTTCTGAGGTGTGACTTAATTTGAGTGGCTAGCCTATCGAGGAATCCTCGAGTCTCGAGTACGACCTTCGCGCGTCAACTATCAACGTTCCCGTCGCACTTACAATATACTAAAATAGCTGTGGGCTAAGACATTTCTCATCTTTCATTAACGACTCAATTGATTACTTCTCACCATATAATTGCTCGCTTTCATAGCTGGTCTCAGTTGCGACAACAATTGCGACGGCAGGTTACTCTGGCGGAAGTGCTCCGGTCTCTAGACTGGATGCCATAGCCCGCCGTGATGGATAGCGCAACTTGTAATGTGATTTACGTGGATCGTAATGTACTCCAAGACCGATCACTAGGCTCTGAGAGCACGGATCTGCCGGAATCTGGCGAGCTTGGGGATAATTTAGGACTCTTACTAGATGCCTTCGGTGACGGTCAGTTCTCGATATAAGCTTCTACTATAGACAAGCAACTAACATGTCGCAGTACACGTGTGTGCAAGCGGTTCTGCTTGTATATCTAAGCTATTTCACTTGCAAGATACGTCCATGGTAGGGCTTAAACCGACTCTTGTACTAATCGACACGCCGTACGAGGAGCAGGTGTTAGAGCCGTTACCGCCCGAACGAGACCATTCGCCTTTCTCCGAGGCCTCCCAGGACGGCCAGGTGGAAGAAGAGCTATACGGATTAAGACTGCTTGAGCGGATTGTTTACGAAACTCATCTGAGAAGCCTCTCAAGATTAGTCGTTCCCATTCCCGTGATCAGCTTCCCTCTACTACGAAGCCCGCCAGCGAATGACGGTACGAACGATGATCCTCCACAACCGCCTTATGCAGATTACCTCTCAGAAATTCCAGGCGCGACCGGGAGATCATTGACAAACCGCGCTCTACTAAGAAAGTGCCTAGACTGTGGTGCCGTAGATGTAATGGCCAGTCCTTTACATATTAAAACATTAACAACTCTCGAAGTTCATGCGTATCGTGCGCACAAAGAAGCTGCTAGGGAACAGCAGGCAGCGTTAGAGGTTCGGAGGGGTCGTAAACGGTCATGGGTAGGTGTGCATGAGGAGCAGCCTTACTCGTACCTTAGAGAGGCTATGGTATCTGGGTTAATGAGAGGGATTTGCCTTTCCGGTGAAGAGGGTGAAGATCGCATTGGGAACGTCAAGGTTAATGTTCCATCTGACCGCCGGTCTCAAATCGCCAGGGCTATTGGGAGATGGCATTTTTCTGCCCACGATTTCTGTGACGATTCTCTCCTCATTGCAGCCATCCTCATGTTTAAGCATGCCTTTTCCATGCCGGAACTTGAAAAATGGCGAATACCAACAGGTAAATGACTTAACCCTATACTCGCTACGCTGTGACTGCTAACCCTCCCGAAATATAGAGCAGTTAACAACTTTTCTTGTCGCAACACGAGCTGCTTACAATACTTTCGTGCCATATCACAACTTTCGCCACGCTGTTGATGTTCTCCAGGCGACATTTAATTTCCTTGTTCACATTGGAGCCTTGCCGCCATATCCCTCCCGCCCTAGATCGTCCGCCGGGTCTATCAAAAAGAGTCCACTCGTTACTCTAATCGGACCTTTTGAGACTTTAACCCTTCTCATAGGGGCGATCGGCCATGACGTCGGTCATCCTGGTGTAAATAACGGCTTCTTAACTGTGCTTAATGCGCCCCTGGCGCAATTGTACAATGACCGGTCTGTTCTCGAGTCTTTTCACTGCGCAGCTTATTCACAAATCCTCCGGAGATATTGGCCTAAGGTCTTTGAAGATACAAAAATGCGCACCCTTATGATCAGCTCAATTCTGGCGACGGATATGGGTGTGCACTTCGATTATATGACCAAGCTTGAAAATCTCGAGAAGGAACTGACAAAGGAAGCAATTGAAAATTGGAGCGAGAAAACAATAGACAAACAGACGACGCTTATATGCTGCCTGATTATAAAGTGCGCCGACATCAGTAATGTTGTACGTGTTATGTTTGTCTCTTGTGTGAAATTACATAGCAGCTAATGATATCGATAGGCACGAAAATATGAGGCAGCACTTCAATGGATGTATATCCTCTGCGACGAATTTTCCAGGCAAGCAACGATGGAGAATGATATTGGTATTCAATCTTCCCTCATCTCACGTCCCAAGAAGGATTTTTTGTCGCTAGCTCAGGCTCAAATAAAATTCATGGAAATATTCGCCATTCCCCTATTTCAGGGTATCGCTGAAGTGCTGCCTACCATGCAGTATACGGTTGACGAGCTCGAAACAAACAGGGCGTTATTTGAGAAAACCGTACAAGAGATTCCGCTAATGGAAGAAGAGCATCGAAGAATATTTACGGAAGGTGTTCTTTCACCTCGTGCTTTAGGCTTGGCTATTCAGGCAGAAGGCGTCGAAAATTTCCGAATAGACCCGACAAAGTGCGATTTGCTCTCAGACCATGCTGAAATAAAGAAAGCAGGCTCGTCAGCGCCCGATCAGCCATATCAGACTCCTGGTCTCCGGGGAGCATATAAGGAAATGAACGGCATTCCATTCGATACCGATCCGTTCAGCACCGCCGACCCAGAAAACAGAGTTGGCCATAATGGGAAACAGCGTTGTAGCGAGACGACAGACGGGAGCAATTCGGTACCCCCGGGAGACTGGCAGTCACAAGCTACTAGCGCTACTACAGGCAAGATGCCACTCTCGCCAAGTACTCAAGGTACTAGCATCGTCAGTCAAGAGTCTATCGAGCGCGCTGGAGGCGTCCCCGTTACTAAAGTCATAGTACCTGATTACCGGACGATGGGACCAATGCAGAGTCTTGAGTCGGGTAATTCCGAGGAGGATTCTAATGGAAATACACTCAAGCCGGAAATACCACTTAAGAAGAAGCCCAGCAGGTTCCGAATGAACGTCTCAACCTTTTTTCGGAGGAACAAGGGTGCGAGTTCACCGTCATCCGGCGGTTCTTGAAGCTACTGGGGTGATAAACCAGTAGCTAAATAATTCGAGATACGATACCCAACTACAGAGGAAGAAGATAGGAGAGCATCGGTACGCGTTTGCGAGTTTATACACGCAGTCAGACGACACCGCGACCACAAAACGAAGCATTGTGTAGGGCAATAACAGTTGATAGCGTATTGCTCATCACACGTATATATTGTATACTAGCCGGGTATGGGACGAGGGCGAGGGCGAGGGTGATTACTCAGCGTTTCTGGTGGTTTACCAAAAGTTTTAGGGTTAGGGAGTGGAGAGCTGGTAAGCCCGAGAAGGGAGGGCACCAAAGGTGGCGGGGGGGGTTATATTACCAAAGATGCATGCATGGCGTTCAGGAAATAGGGTCGGTGTAGGAATCGGGACCTGCGGCCTCCGAGGAGGAGGAAACGTGCATGGGGGAATGGGTCTTGCGGCGGAGTTTATGTTTTGAGATGGGAAAGGAATACTTGAGACACCTTTTTCGGCTCAGGGGAAGTCCTCAGGAAAAAGGCAGAGTTCAACCTGCGCGGTAATTCTTGATGGGGGGCACTTTTATTACATCTGTAAAGTGATGTGATCTTCGTTACACCCTGAATGCCGGGTTTTGATAGTATTAAATGTATGAATATATGAGAAGGAGAAAGGAGGGGTTGAAAAGAAAAACAGGGAGAACTCCCGAGATTAGCTTCATAGTACGATACAAGGCGAGAAGATCTCTTGCTTGAATTAGAAGATGATCTGGGAAACCCCCCCACGAATTACGATCTATGGACATCTGCAAGTGGCTTCATGCAAGTGATCAGACTAAAAGTCAGGAAATCCACTAGCGAATCGTATGAATCGTATGTTCTACCGTCTAACATGCAGCCCAAGCAGCCCAAGCTAGCTTGATGTCGACGACTATGTACACGAGCAGCGTCATTGCTGTTGTATGCTATGCCGTGGCCTATTGCAGCCGCCAGAGGCGCGTCTTGTACATAGGAAGACTAATACGACTAACACGATGCGGACCAATGAATGCCGAAAGACATTGGTGTGAGCCCCCTGCTGATTGACATCATAGTCATCACCCAATGCTTGCTCAATGCTTAATCAAGAGCCTCGAATTTCTCGGCAATATTGTGTGCGAGGGATATTCCAATACGAACATGACAAATACCTATAATATGAAGCTTTGAACAAAAAGGTGTTCGTGATATGTGGCTGCCCGCATTTCGATTTGGAGAGCTTGTACTACCTAAGTACTTGAAAAGACCCTATAGAAAGACCCTGAGCGTTCGGACCATCTTTCAGTTGAGCGACTCGATTCCTATTAGGTTATCTACCTAAGATACGGAATACTTGAAAACCCACTTCTATGTACATATTGTACGGATCCGTTAGTAGCGTACGTACGTACTTGTAAGAAAAAAACACTGTATCACTGTACGGATACATGGAGGTATGCAAACATACCGATTAACCTAAGATTTAAAACCATGTGAGTCGTCTTTGTCCGAGTTATATATACCTCAACAAAACATTTTAATAAACCTATTCCACACGCCGAATCTTCTTTAAAATATAAATATTAAATTAAGACTATAAAAGAAAGACAGTGCACAAAGAGCAAGGGTTCCCCAGCTTTCCACAATAGCGAAACGCCACAGCTGACCAGTACCGTAACACCTGCACCTGATTGAAATTTGGGCTGCTAGCAACTAGGTATGTATAATTGTACATAGTCGGCAAGCGGACTTAACCCCCACTGCCAACCCAAACCTTAACAAGCTTGCAGCCTGAGGTAACATATGTATGAAGTACCTAACCTTTGGTAGCAAAGTTTAGTTGGTGTTTTAGAGGGGAGGGAAAGAATTTCCCACCGTCTCCAAATATTGTTTTCTCTTTTTTATTTCATTTTAGACAAGGTCTTGATTAAAAGTCTCGATTAAAATAACCCCGCAGTTCCGCGTCTCCGCTAGCCGTCAGCTTACCTCGCCTTATTAGATATATACTTCCTCTGTACAGAACATTAGCACCCTGCGTGTTCTGCCTTGCCCTGCGTGCCTCACAGCAGCGCCGTACCTCCCAACAGTATCTCGTTATCCTTATCCTCTCATTTATTTTTTTCAATTTACCTCACTCTCAGTCCTCCGTTCAGACTTATTGCGCGCGCAGGCCGTAGCACAACTTCTATTACTGTCTGTCAATTATGAAAAATATTCATGGTGGAAATCAGGACTGTGGTGAGTTTCGAGGTTGAAAGGACGCATCATATTCATGCCCATGGCCACTGATCCCGCTGCCTATCCACAAGGCGCCGAGAACATTCATCAGGATGCAGACCCAGAACCGCAACGCGGCCGCGACCCCACGAGGAGTACGAAGTTGGCTGCACCGTTACGAATACCCAAGAACCGCAGCACTGGCAATCTCGCCGTTGTGGCTGAATTTCCTGAGAGATCGAGGTTGAGGTTCTCTTTCGACACGGGATCAGGCGTGACAGAATCTGACCAAATCACAAGGTACGTTCTAGCGCAATGTGGTACCGCCTCCAAAATCCGAGAATAGACACACGGGATATAATGGAGAGGCATGTCATTACCCATAATCCACGCATATTTCCTTCGCCAATGTCACATGCATCTACTCAGCCGCCTTATTACATACACACCAGAGTTCCCGTCCGCCAAAAGTAAAAAAAAAAAGGAGAAACAAAAAAAAAAACCAAAAAAAGCAAACTAGGCGGAATGGGAGCTCGGGGGACAAAAAGAAGATCAAAACTCACACAAGTTGAAACACTATATTGGTTTAAGGTCAAACGTGACTAATATCTTGGTTGTGTCAAAACAACAGATCTCCCATAATTACCGAACATGACCATGGGCTGGGTATCTCTGGTTTACGACGCATTCGTCAGCATCCAACCCCCCGCACTCCTACGATGCCTTCGAGCGCCGTATCTTCGCGAAGTCCCTCTACCGGTCTCCTTCGCTCCACCTCGATGTCTATGATGCTCCCTTCAGGGCATTCTACCCCGTTATTGGGCCCCTCGTCTCCCAACTTCTCCGAAGACCTGTCTCGCTTTCCGTCCGAGTCCCTGCATTCCTTCTCCTTCGCCCATCAATCCGAGGAGTTTATACATAACCGTCAAAATGTGCTAAAACGGTCTATAGAGTTTATGAAAGACCGCATGGGATGGGCAGTTTCGTCGAATGCGGCTATGGCTAGCGCTCAAGCTAGGGTCTCCGGCGATGTCGAAACCCAGCATATGCTTAATCTTCTCGCTAAGGCACAGCTGGTTGGGGCCGGAAATTTGCCAAATGCCGACTCTTCCTTCAATCCAGGCCCGCTGACCGGACCAGCTCAAGTCTCACAGAGTAATATTTTCGAAAAGGACTTCATACCGAGGACGAGCAGCCCCGAGTCCTTCGTAACACCGCTTGTGTCTCCAATTGCCCGAGGGCCTACCGTGGATGAAACTCCAGTTGCTACTGCACGGCCTACGGAAGGCGGAGAGGGCGAAACGCTGCCAGAGCAAGCGGATACGTCTCAAGAGCAACCGGATTCTGAGAACTCATCAAGAACGCCGACAAATGAGAGTGGCACCACGGCTAAGACGTCACCTCCCATATCCAGACGCCCGAGCTTGAGGAGAAATTTTACGGACGTAGGAACAGCTGAGAGGCAGCAAAAGCTTGTGGATACTATGACGCAGCCTTTTCTTGCTGGCTCGTCAGAAGGTTATCCCGAAGCATTGGTATCTCCTATGCTCCCGCCGTTAACTATAGGTTCGTCACTCGGCGCATCTGGGTCCCTGGGTTCCGTGGTTCACGGTCATGCAGCTCGATGGGTTCCAGCAGCGCAGGCTATTTTCACAACCGAATCCAAACCCCCATGGACTATATTAGCTGCGAATGACTTGGCTTGTTTAGTGTTTGGCGTGACAAAAGCCGAGGTTCGAAAGATGGGGATCTTGGAAGTTGTGCAAGAGGAAAGGCGAGCCTGGTTAGAGCACAAACTCCTTCGCGCTGATCCTGATGAGGTGGGACAAACACCTGCACAGACTGTACCGCAACCTGCTCCCTCAGCCGGCTCGTCGTTATTGGGAGGTCGCGGGGGTATCACGGCACAATTGCTAAGTAAACCAAACTCTAGATCCCAGCCTCCAAAGACACCTGCCCGGCGTGCACAGACTGTGCACAGCGGAGATACTACGCCATCTAAATCTCGAGGTACGAGTCATCGCAGTTCAAAGTCAAGAGGGGTGTTGCTCTGTGGTGATGTTGTCCCCATACAAAAGCGAAACGGGGCGACGGGTTCTGCGAGTCTGTGGGTTAAGGAGAAGAGGGTAGGGCTGATATGGGTCCTCGAAGAAATTCACGAGGATGTTGCCCTCGTGAGTCTTGACGACGACGGAATCGTCACCAAGATCTCTGGAGACACGGGTCCAATATGGGGAGATGAAAATCTACAGCCAGGCATGGATATCGGGAAGTTGATCCCCCGCATTCCTCGACAAGGTATCGATCCTAGATATGGCGCAATAGACTATGCGCAAATTGCGAAACGCAGGTATTTTACTTGTCGAAATGGGGGGAAAATTAATATTCCTGCTATTGTCGCACAGACGAGAGGTCAGACCGAACTACGGGTTTCAAGCTTCCCCCATATTGCGGGTATTATCGTAGTCTCTCCTGATACGCTCCAGATCAAGAGCTCAAATTCGGCATTCTGCGGGGCCCTCTTCGGTTATGAAAAGCCGGAGGGACAGTCGGTCACTAACTTGATTCCGGACTTCGACAAGGTTCTCGAAATTTTGGTTGATCACGATGGGATTCATCTTCAGGATGGCATCGTAGTACCTGAACATAGTTTCAGAAAAGCGTCTACTTTGTTGGCTTTACAAGATGGCAGACCAGATGCTACCAGCATTTTTCTAAACCCTGATGGGCTCCCGGCGAAACACCGTGACGGCTCCGAGTTAAAGATCGACGTTCAAATGAGAGTAGTAAAGAGTGAAAAGCACTCCAGCAATGATTCAGGTGCGAGTGACGATGAGTCACAGGGAAGCGAAAGCGATATTGAGTCAGAGGTGGTTTACGCGTTATGGATCACCTATTCTCGTCACTTACATACGTCCAACATCAAGTCATCAGCCGCCACTAGCTCTAAATCGCCAGTATTGTCCAGGGCAGTGTCTCCTTTACACCAACCCTCTCCCGGTCAGACACCAGTGCATACACCGATAGACATGAGCTCGGATACAGAAGAGGTAAAGTCTAAGCTTACCTCCGCTGCGTCGGGATTGTCTCAACAGCTTAAAGTTGCTGCAATAAATGCAGCCGCTAAACTCACCGGGCAATCTAAGGCTTCAGAAAAACAATTATCATCATCACCGCCTCAAACCAACGCTCCAGAACGTAAAAAGACTATTGATGATTTCGTTATACTTGAAGACATGGGCCAGGGTGCTTACGGCCAAGTGAAACTAGCACGGTACAAGTACAACGGCGGGAAGAAGGTTGTGCTGAAGTATGTGACCAAGCGGCGAATTCTCGTTGATACATGGACTAGAGATCGACGCCTCGGCACAGTCCCTCTTGAGATACATGTGTTAGACTATCTCCGACGGGACGGTTTTAAGCATCCTAACATCGTAGAGATGGAGGATTTCTTCGAGGACGAGACGAATTATTATATCGAAATGGCTCCTCATGGATATCCAGGGATGGATCTCTTCGATTACATTGAGCTCCGTGCTAACATGGAAGAAGAGGAATGCCGAAGCATTTTTGTCCAGGTTGCTAGGGCGATACACCATCTCCACACTAAAGCGAAGGTGGTTCATCGTGACATCAAAGACGAAAACGTCATTTTAGACGGTGAAGGGCACATTAAGCTGATCGACTTCGGAAGCGCAGCATACATCAAGAATGGGCCTTTCGATGTCTTCGTAGGCACTATTGGTATGTCACTTTTCTCGTTAATATTCAGTATATCGACTAACTTAAATTTACTCTAGATTATGCGGCCCCGGAAGTGTTAGCAGGGAAACCGTATGGCGGTAAAGAACAAGACGTATGGGCTCTCGGAATTTTGCTTTACACCATCATCTACAAGGAGAACCCATTCTACAGCATCGACGAGATAATGGATCGTGATCTAAGAGTACCATATGTAATCAGCGAAGAGAGCATTGACCTCATCCGCTGTATGCTTGATCGCGATCTTACGCGACGATACGATATCGAACAAGTGATTCAGCATCCCTGGTGCCAGATGGATTGAAGATGTGACGATAGGGAGTGAACAGCTGGGCTGTCCCATGAGGACTTAAGGGGATATGAGTGAGGAAGGGTTTGTATGGCCGGGTTGGTTTTATGGGCTAGCTAGACTGTTATTGGAGAACAGGGCACAGAGCACAGAATTGGGGAATGAAGACAATTTACTGCATGATACCCAGCTCTCGAAAAACTACGATTTTACGAGGGGCTTAGGAAAGAATAACATAAAGAGCTATCTATAAAATACGGAATCAAGTAAGCAAGATACACAGAATAGGGCTGGCGCAGGGTCTATTTTTCCCATCTTAGGTATTGGTTTTGTTGCTAGAGCAAGTCAGCGTATCTTGGCGGTGGAAATCAGCATACGCTTTCGGCACGGAGTTTTTTTTTTTTTTTTTCTTTGAGAGGGCTTTATGATATCAAAACATATGATATAAGAAACTAAAGAATGGCTGGCTTTTCCTCTCGGATTTTAGTTTCTGATTATGATTTCCTAGTTTGCCCAAGTCTGGCGTATCAGCCTAAATATGTCCCGAATCTTTTCGATTTCTTTTCACGTCTGCTTATTGCATCGGTTGGGCTGGCATATGGTGTTGGGTACGGGATATATATACCTACCGAAGTTGGATTGGAGAATGAGGTGCTGGGACGTGGCTGGGGAGCTGTAGGCTTCGGTAGGTAGGTAGCTGGTTAGGTCTGTAGACAAACAGAGGGCCGTAACGCTTCAATAACAATAAGGTATATGTCCAAGATTTTTGCATGGTCTTCACTGAGTTGGCTTGAAAGGGGAAAACTAGGTACTTAATAACTTGACGGTGTGACGAGAAGTTAAAGGGAACGTAGGATATTAATATCAACTAGTTAAATTAAATATATACCTCGTACTCGGACAAGAACATGGTCTTTTTAAAAGCCTATATATTATTAAGTACTGTGTAGCTTTACATAATACAAATAAGTATTTAAGACATGTTAAATATACTTATTAAATTAATAATATTAAAGTCTTTATATAAATACATATTTAAATAATAATAAAATATAATAATAAAATAATTAATTAATTAAATTTTAATTATATAATTAATTAAATAAAAAAAATTTATAAATTATAAAAAAAATCTTTTTTATTTAATTATAAATAAAACATAATTTTATTGGCTTTAACTTTAATACATATATTACGTAAACACGTAATTATTATTTTAACATTAATAATTTTTTCTTTTTCGCGTAATTACGTGTATTTGTACATATATCGGAATTTCCTTTTTTTTTTTATTAATTATTTTTAAGTTAATATTATTAATTATTACTTTTTTTATAATACTTTTTTTTTTCTTATTTTATATATAATATAATTTTAATTAAATACGGTTACGTCATTTTATTTAAAAATATTTTTAATAATATTTTCGATAATATTATTATAAATTTATTTAACTTATTTTTATAATTATAATTAAATTTAATTAAAATTAATAAATTCTTTTAAAACTTTATTAAAATTTAATTTAATTATTACATTAATTAAATTATTTTTACCATAAATTTATTAAATTTTATTAATTTTATAACGTTTATAAAATTATTAAAATAATATAATATTAATTATAAATCGTTTTTTTTTTATATTATTAAATTTTATAATATATTTATATAATAAAAATAAATTAATATAAATTATTACTTATAAAAATTAAAAATTTAATTGTTTAAATATAAATGTTATTATTATATTAACAATTAATTTTATATTTACATTATAAATTATTATATATATTTTATTTATTAATATATTTTTTATAATTTATTAATATTTAATTAAATTTTAATATATTATATTACTTTTTATTATAAATAATTTATCGTTTTTCATTTTATTTATAATAATAATTTTATATTTAATTTATAAATTAAAGTTTTTATTATTTATAAATAAATCGTTTATAAAAATAAATATTTTAACCGTAATTAAATTAATAAATATATATTAAATTTCTTATTTAAAATTATTAAATTATTATTATAATCTTTTATTTAATTTAATTATTTTACTTTTTTTAAAATTTTAATATTATACCGTTTTTATTAAATTAAATATAACTTTAAATTAATAAATAAATATTATATATAAACCTTAAACTTTTTATTATATATATTATTATAAAATATTATTTTTTTTAATTTTAATAAATATTATCTTTTTTTTTTATCTTTTTTATTATATATAAACATTACTTTTTTTATTTTTAAATAATATATATTTATTAAAAATTAACTTTTCTTTTTTTATAAAATATATTTTAAATTTTATAATAAATTTAGTTTTTTTAAGCTTTTCGTCCTTTAATTTATTAAAAAATTTATTTAATATTTTTAATATATTATCAGTTTATATTATAATTAATTTAAATTATTTTAATATATTTATTATTAAAAAACATAGGTTATAAATTAATATAATTATAAACAATTTTTTTTTATAATAAATAAAATATATTACTTATTAATATATTTTAACTTTAAAAATACCGTATAAAAATTTAATTATAATTATAATCATACCTTTTAAAAATATAAACGTTAATTTTTTTAATAATTTAATTATAATTTTTTAAATAAAAAAATTTCGAAATTATATATATATTTATATTACATTTCGTAATTAAATTATTATTTTCCCGTTTTTTTATATATTTTAAAAATTAATATAAATACAATTTATTAATTTATTTATTAAATTATTAATAATTATATTAAAATTTTTTTTTTATTTTTATTATTAAAGTTTTATATAATAAATCTTAATTTTTTATATAATATATTAATTATTTTTCTTTTTATTTTATAAATAATTTTTAAATTAAAAATTTAAGTATTTTTATATTTTTTTTAATTAAATTTTTTAAATAAAAATATACCTTTTTTAAATAATCCTTTAATTTTAAATTTATTAAACTTTTCGAAAAATTTATCGAAAATAATTATTTTTTTTTTCTTAAAATTACATTATAAATCTTACATCTTCCGCTTTTTTAAATAATTAATATATTACCGTTTATTTTAATTTATTTTTACTTTTAAACGGTTGTTTTTATAATTTTTTTTAAATTATTACTTTAAATTATAATATATATTTATCTTTTTTTTTTTTATTAAAAATAAGTTTTATATTTAAATTATTATCGTTATATAATATATATAAATATTTATTTTTTAAATAAAATTTAATAATTATAATTTAAAATTTTATTAATTTATTATTTATTTTAATAATATACGTTTTATTATTATATACGATTAATTTATAAAGTTTTATTTAATTTTTATTTTTTTAATAAATTTAAACTTTTAATTATAATAATAATTTAAAAGTATTAAAAATATTTAAGTTATTTTTTATATTTAAAACTTTACTTATTTATCGTTATAATTTAAACTTACGTATTTTTATTATTACTTTTTTTATAATTATAATTTTTATTATAATTAAAGAAATTAAAAATAACATTTTTATAAATTTTAAATATATTTTAAATATAAATAACGTAAATATTAATTTATTAAATCTGATTATATCGTTAATAACTTTTATTACCATTTAAAAAATATTATATTTATTTATTTATATATTTTATAAATTTTTAAATATTACTTTATATATTTATTATAATAAATCGTAATATTATTTAAGTTGTTTTATTAAATTATATACTTCGATTAATACTTTTTTAATAATAATTAATAAACTTTTTACATTAATTATAAATTCGTTTATAATAAAGTTTTTTTTAATATTAAATATTAAATTATTAAATGGTTTAAAGTAATTATTTATTTAAATTATTTATAATATATTTTAAATATATTTAATTATTATATCTTTTAAAAATTTTATTATTTAAAATAATATTATTTTATTAATTATATATAATATAAATTTATTATTAATATATATTATATTTACGTATATATTATAATTAAAATTTATATTATTTTTTATAATAAATTTAAACTTTTTTAATATGTTTTTATATATTTAATATTAATAATAATATTTATTAATTTTTTTAATAATAAATTTATTAAATTTATTATATTTTATTTTATTTAAAATATTATATAACCGTTTTATAATAAAATAATTAAAACGTTGGTAAATTTATTATAATTTATTTTTTATAAAATAATAATATATAATTATTTATTTTAAATTATTTAATAAATATTATATATATCTTCATTTTTTAATAATAAAATAATTTTTATTTTTATAAATTAATATATTTTTTATATTATTTAAATATATATTAAATTTATTTATATTTTTAAAATATAATAAAAATAATATATTTATAAATATAATATAAAAAAAAATAATATTAAATAAAATATTTATATATACCGTTTTTATATTTTATTTATTTATGTTATTATTAAAACGGATTATATATTATTTTATTATTTTTATATTTATTTTAATATATAAATATATTTTTTATAAAGCTTTTATTTAATTTTTTCCTTTTATTAATATATTAAATATTTTTATATTTAATATTATACCTTAAAATTTATATATATATTAATTTTTTATATAAAAAATTTATTAAAGTTTATAATTTATTTTATTAATTTTTT